AATATCTTAGTGCAGTTGTCAACCCCCTTCCAGCAAAAATAATTATGTGAAGAACCCGATGGAAAAGATGCAGGGCAAGTGGTGGCGACGACACCGTCTGGTATTTAACAATGTCCTAATTAGTCAATACATGAATTGCTTCGATTGATTTCTAGTACAGTTATTGTGAATAGAACTTTTGGTTCTTGTTGGCAACTTTATGGAATTAGACGTTCTCATCTTTACATCTTGGGTCTATTGTTTTTGTTTCTATTTATGACTTATTCATTTTTTCTAACCCTCCATTACAATTGAAGTTTTTTTTATGCAACCTTATTATTCATTGTTCAGGCTTGCATGAAAAAAAAAACAACAATATTTTTTTATGTATTCTGTCAGAATGTATTCTGCCAGAAGTTGTCCAAGAGGAAAGTTTATGAGAACTTGCATTTACTGCATACCATCCATTTTGGAGAACGAACAAAGTTGAAAATCAACAAATTAAGCAATATTTTTATCTTTTTTCATATATGAAAGTTAAGTTTTTATGGTTTCTGAATATTATACAACAAGTATATTATTCAGTTAGAATATTCAACAAAGAATGTTAAGAATATTATGCAACAAGTATATTATTTTGTTAGAATATTCAACAAATAATGTTATTTTTTTAGTCACCTTTTGTGTTAACATGATATTTTCATGTATTTATATTTCAAATGTTTTTTTGTTGGATATATTCTTGATAATACAATTTTACAAAAATATTTTATTCTATAAGAATATTATTGCTGTATTTTGATAGAATTGTAGTTAATTATTTATATGTTTAGTGTGCAGTTGTTATAATTGTATCACTACAAAATTTTTAGCAATGAATTCGTGATAGAAATAGCTTGAAGAATGGCTTGAAAATCTGATGTGAAAGGCTTGAAGAATAAATTAAAGAATGATAACACTCATTGTTTAAGAATGTTGTTATTTTTTAAGAATTACAATTGTTATTCTTTCAGAATGTTTTAATTATTCAATGAATCACAATCATACAATGTAATTATTTGGTATATTATTAGTTCAATAATCGATTTTGTGTATTCTTTTAGAATTTATTTACTAGTTTATGGTTGGTATTCTGTCATTCTGACAGAATAAAATCGAAAAGTATATTTACTAGTTTATGGTTTGCATTTTATCATTCTAACAGAATAAAATCGAATTTTTAAATTTGAATTAAGTTAACATATTTATATTTTTTAAAATAAAGGAATTAATTATCCCTAAAAATCCAAAAATTTCCTTTTTTAATATATGTTAATTGATTAAAATGCTCTTATGCTGAAATTTGTATAATTATATGGTATATGTTATCCTATTATAATATCATACGCCCTCAGATCATGATCTTTGATTCTATTCCATCCGGTAGTCCAAATCTGTGCATTCTGGCACACAATATTAGTAAAAACAAAATAACCTAAGTGTATATATATATATATATATATATATATATATATATATATATATATATATATATATATATATATATATGTCTGGAAAAAAAATAGTAGAGGTGACAAGTTTTTCTTCGGCATATTTTTTCTGGTGAATATAAAAAACGAATCACTACATGAATAAAAAATAACATGATTCATAAAAACAATCCCAAATAAACATTTTGATAATTCATTGTTATGACGATTTTGTTCATACTTACTAAAATTATCATAAAATTGAATTTTTCTTGATTTACTTAAAAATGAATTATAAAAATAATTTTTTTTTTTAGAATTTTTACTTTTGAATCATTTAATGATTCATTTTGTTTGTTTACTAAAAAATATGTGTATAAAATATTTCTTACATTCCTTACAAAATTTTCATTCTTATTTCACCATGATTATATATATATATATATATATATATATATATATATATATATATATATATATATATATATATATATATATATCCTATAATAATAAAAGAGTAGTTTTCTTTTGTCATGTGTCACCATGTTAGGCATTATAATAAATATCATAACACTTGTCAATCTGTTGGTACTTGTAATTAAAATCATGATACTTATCAATCTATTAATTATCGATTTCAAATTTCAAAATTTAAATCAGATTTTAATTACATTAAATTAATAATATTAAAATAAAAATAAAATAAAATTTATAAAAATTATAATAAAATAAAATTTATACAAATTATAAGATAATATATTTTACGTGTTTATTTGAATTAACGGTTATAATTTTATATATAACTAAAATAGAATTTTAATTAATAAGTTATTTAAAATTATTAATTAATAGTTTTGAGTTTTTACTTAGAAAGTTTGATTAATTTTCTAATTGGTGGTTCCCACGGGTTATAAACTAATATATATATATATATATATATATATATATATATATATATATATATATATATATATATTATTGATAATAGTGGGGTATGCCTAATCATAAATAATTATATAACAACGAGATATAATCATATATGATTGTATATGTTTATATATATATATATATATATATATATATATATATATATATATATATATATATATATATATGCCTAATCACAAATGATTATACATATATGATTGTTCAAAGATTAAGTAATTATATATGATTATAATTGTTGTGGCAAAAAACGTGGTGGTGGCAGAGGTGGCGGTGGTACAAGTGACGGAGTTGTCACTGGTGGGGTCGGCTGATGTGAGAAGTGGTGTTGATGGTTGTGGTGGTGGGGATGTTGGTGAAGGAGAAAGGAACAAATGACGTTAGATAATCATTTATGGTTATAACAAGTTTGTCGCTCCGTTACGCTAGAGGTTTGGAGTGGAGGATTTGAAATATGTGGCTGAAGCTGAATATTAAGATCTTGATTTTTTTTTTTAAATATCAATGGAACCTATCTATCTATCTATCTCTCTCTCTCTCTCTCTATATATATATATATATATATATATATATATATATATATATATATATATATATATATATATATATATATATATATATATATATATATAACAAAGGGCTTATCTGTGTTGTTCTCCCTTTCTAAAGTCAATATTTCAAGTCTTATAAGTGACATTTGTTCTTATTTTGATAACCGTTATTAAATAACTGCCAATTAAATATTATGTTATGGTAAAAAAAATTAATTACAAATTTTTATATTAAAAAAATGAATATGTTATAAAAAAGGTGTTTTAATATACTAATAATATATTTTTTTTCACATTCTAATGTACAAAAATGCTTTAATATCCCAAATTCAATTCATCAAACATTATATTTTAAGTAAAACACAAAACATATTCAAAGAAAAAATAAATTGAAATGTTTATTTTATTGGATAATGTCACTATAGCACATGAAACTTTTTATATTTGGCTAATTTGGTCATTAAAGATTTTTTTAGTACATTAGACCACTAAACTCTTAATTTACCTATTAATTTAGTCATTTTATCTACTTTTAAACGGTTTCCCGGTTGACATTTTATATATGTCAATTAATATTTTTTTTTTACTAATCCGATACCACGTGAGATATGTCATGTCAATTAATGATATACGAAGCTTAAAGCCTGTCGTCTTTAGCTATCAAACATCCCTCGTCTTCATTATTCAGCTGTAAAAGAAATTGATTTAGGGTTTGTGAAGCTTTCCTGTGATCGAGCTAAAGAAACAAAGATGTCGCAACAATGGCACAATCGAAACTTAATGGAGTGTTTGCGATGGTGGAACTTAACTACCAAGGGATATTTAATCAAAATCCCTTCTCTTACACTGGTGGTGTTAAAACCATCTTCAATGATGTCAACTTTTCTTCTATTACTTATTATAAGTTTGTGACCTTCTACTAACCTTTCAATGAAGAAGAGTGTAAAAGGATTTACTACTGTGAACTAGGCAATTCCCTGATGGATGGGCTTAATCCTATTTTAGATGATGTGGAATATGCTACTTTTATTTTTGATGCTTATGGAACAAATGGTGTAATTCGATTTATGTGGATCATATTGGGGTTGGTGTTGATGGGTGGCTTGATGATAAAGATAGTGATGATGAAGAACATGAGTCTTGTATTGATGGTGAAAATGAAGATAACATAGATGAACTTTGGAATGTTTCCTTTGAATTTAATGAGGATGTAGTGCATATGAATAGGACATCAAATGATCCTTTCTTGAGTAAGTTATGTGTTGATGATGATGAGGATAACAACATTGTAGATGATGATAATGGGAGGAAAGTTGAAGTTAACATTCAAAGTCATTCCATATTTAATAAGCTATTGCACTGGAGAAAACAAAAACCAATTCTAGGGATGAGATTTAAGGGTCCAGGGCAAGTAAAATCAATGTTGTGCAAGTATGTTGTAGCTATTGGATATCAATTGTGTTTTGAAAAAAATGATACGAAAAGACTTTTGGTGAGTTGTAGCAGGGGTGCTTGCACATTTAGATTATGTGTTTCTCGGATGAGTGACGAAGAGAGTTTCCAAATCAAGTCACTAAAAGTTGATCATAATTGCGCTAGGAACTTCAAGTTTGGATCATTGGTGATGTATGCATGGATTGGGAGTCACTATACCAAAGAGATTGTACAAAATTAGAAAATAAGTGTTAGGAAGCTTAGGGTTAAGGTAATGGCCAAGTTTGGTATCCAAGTTAGTATGGGGCAATGTAGAAGAGTAAAGAAGTATGCATTGAATCTTGTTGAAGGCAACCTTGTTGAACATTATGGTAAGCTATGGTCATATGGTCATGAGATTTTAAGGACAAATCCTAGGTTAACTGTGAAACTAGATGCGGAGGATGGTCCAGATGGAAAGAAATATTTTAGCAAATTCTATTGTTGCTTTCAAGGAGTTAAACAAGGTTAGATTGAAGGTTGTAGAAGGATAATAGATCTTGAAGGATGTTTTCTTAAAGGTGTTTGTAAGGGGGAATTGCTATGTTCTATTGGGAGGGATGCAAATGACAAGATATATCCTATGGCTTGGGCAGTGATTAATGTGGAGAACAAGCAGAATTGGAAGTGGTTTTTAGAGCTTCTAATTGTTGATCTAGACTTGAATTTAGGCAATGGTTTCACTTTAATGTCAGACCAACATAAGGTTAGTATTTTACATAGTAATTCATTTATATTTATTTCATACTATCTGATTTAATCCTTTTGTATTAATAAAGGGTTTGATAAAGGCTACTAAAGAGTTGGTTCCATATGTAGAGCACAGGCAGTGTGCTAGACATATTTTCCAGAATTTGCAGAAGAGATTCACTGGTGCTATATATCATACTGTGTTTTAGAGAGAATCTAAAGCCATAACTAAGCATGATTTTAAAGTTGTGATGAAGGAAATTGAGACATTGAACCCAGATGCCCGTCAATATCTCATGGAGAAAGATCTGAAAACATAGTCAATAGCTTTCTTTCAAGCTGGAAGGTCTTGTGATGCAGTTAAACATGGCTTCTCAGAAAGTTTTAATGTTGTAATAGTAGATGCCAGGAAGAAGCCCATAATAACCATATTAAAGGTTTAAGATTATACATGATGGACAGAATCTACAACATGAAATTAAAGGGACAACAATGGGGAAATCATATTTGTCCAGAGATAAGGGATAAGGTGAATTTGCTTAAAAAAATTCGAAGGCATTATCAGGTATTACCTAGTGGATTAAACCAATTTGAGGTAAGGGGAGCAACAGATACATATTAGGTGGACTTGGAAAGGTAAACATGTTCATGTAGGTTGTGGCAGTTGAATAGATATGGATGTGCTCATTCTGTAGCTAGCATATCCTTTCTTAATAAGGATGTAGAAGCCTATGTAGACAACATGTTTAGCACAACCACATTTAGGAAGGCATACAATTATAGAATTTCCCCCATGAATAGCAGTGACATGTGGCTAGAGACAAATTATACTCCACAATTGCCTCCTATTAGTAGAAGGATGCAAGTTAGGCCAACTACTAAGAGGAAGAAATCCACTACAGAGAATATAGGAACATACAAGGTTTCTAAGGCTGGGAAGAAAATCAGATGTAGTATTTGCAAGGAGATACATCACAACAAGGCCACTTGTCCACAGAGAATGCCCTAAAAATTAAATGTATAGAAATAGAAGAAACAAAAAGTTTGTGTGAAGCAAATTGGAGGACAAGTAAAACCATTTACAATTTAAATTTATTTACATATGATTTGTCACTAACATAATGATATCATGCCATATAGGTTAGTATAAGTGCACCACAACAACATAAGGAGGTTGAAATGACTCCAATTGAGATGGATACAACTCAAAATGATATGCAAGCTACTCCTACTGATGTTGAATCCAGTAGTGCAAGGGATTTTAGTCATTTTATGCAATTTACTCCACCTAGAAGTTATGAAGATGATCAGGATGAGGAAGCTGTTGTGGGTGAGGAAGTTAAGAAGGGTGTTGTGGGTAAGGAAGTTGTTATGGGTGAGGAAGCTGAAGATGGTGGTAATGCTCAAGAGTTTAATCCTAATGTCCAAGTTGTTGATATTGTACAAATTAAAGAGTTTGTCCATGTTATCCAGGTTCAACAAGTAAGGGTTAGGCCCATTTCAGATATTTTGAAGAGGATAAGGAGAAGAAAGTCAGAGATAATATTGAAGCTGAAATTAGGCAAAACAATTGGTGGTGTTGATGATCCACGAAATTCTAAGGGAAAAGCTCTTGTAATTGATTATTGTTGATTTTTTACTCTGTGTTATTTAGATTTAAAGTATGTGTGTAAGGATGATGCTAATTTGTATTTAAAGTTTAAGTATTAGGATGATGGTAATTTGGATTTAAACTCTATGTATTAGGATAATGGTAATTTGCTTTTATGTATGTATGGTGCCTTTTTATGTACACTCTTGACATAAAAGGGTATTTTAGTCATTTATGTATGGATGGTACCTTTTTAAGTACACTCTTGACATAAAAGGGTATTTTGGTCATTTATGTATTGATGGTGCCTTTTTAAGTTCACTATTGACATAAAAGGGTATTTTGGTCATTTATGTATGGTTGCTGCCTTTTTAAGTTCACTATTGACATAAAAGGGTATTTTGGTCATTTATGTATGGTTGCTACCTTTTTAAGTTCACTATTGACATAAAAGGGTATTGTGGTCATTTATGTATTGATGGTGCCTTTTGAAAGTATGTTACCTAATTAAGTAAATTCATGACATATGGGTTTGAATATTTCTGCATGGAAAAATTTGGAATAATGTGCATGCATGTGAATGTTTTATATGGTCCCGGATATGGTTCTATAATGGGTTCAAATGTCCCATTTTTCAATTATAAAAACACCCACTGACTACTAACTACAAATGGTCCCCATACATATAGTGTACTTCCACATGAACCACTTTCTAAATTGTTCCCAAAATGAAAACATGCACAACAACCAATTTAATTAAATATAATTGTTGGGAATACAGGCCATGCATATCTTTCAATAACATCAACATCTTATTATACAAAATGCCCTACAATTAGGACTTTGAATACTTTTTCACATTAGTTATCATATGCCCTTTCATTAGGGACTTACCACCTTACGACATCAACACATCAAGGTTGATAGCCCCAACTTGTAACTAAAAGCACCTTCAAAACATACAAAATGACCATCATTACTGACTTTCTAGTATGCATTCACAAAAATACATGGGATCCCAAAAAACAAAAGCTTACACAAACCAACCTAACTAAGTACAATCACCCCCTAAGTTCAAAACACAAATGCCTAAGCAAGCAAAAACCACAACTATCATCATGTACCTGCCTATTTCCTTCCTTGCATCATAAACTTCTTTCTCACTCCTTGCCACCTTATACGGTTCATGTGATAGTAGAAACTCCACTTCCGCAATCCTTCTCCTAAAATTGTTCATCTCAGAAAAATCCTCTTTAGCATCCAGTTTCTGCTTCAGAGAATATAGAAGGTTTTTGTAGTACATGTTCATCATCTTTCCACTCAAAGAAGCTACATTTCTTCAACCTAGTCTATACAAAGCAAATAAAATTAGGGTTTGATTCACAATCACAAATCAACTACCTTTAATGTACTAACAGAATGTGTTTGATTCACAATCACAAATCATCATCAATAAGAAAATAAAATTAGGGTTTTTTAAGCAAACAAAGTATAAATCCACCATGATCATCTTTATAGGATGAAACAACACATCAAACCCTAAAATAGTAAGTTATCAGGATCAGGAGTATCAGGACCCACCATACTATTTTGACAATTCTAGAAATTCCTCCTAGGGTTTGTTATCTTCCAACACGTTCGTTCTTTAGCTGGAACACCACAATCACAAACCTTTACCACTTCTCACGAATGAACATGAGTCACTTGTAGCTAATTCCTTGAGGTGGATGAGCTCGAAGACATTGTTCTTCAGGACGGAAATAATCGGGGGGAAGTATTTGACTTTTCAGAAAAGGGTAAGTAAAACTTTAATGGAGGTCCGATTGAGGGTTTCAAGTAATAAACCTAGTTTGACAAGTGGACTTCTTCGATGCATACACATCCCACATAAGTTTATTGGACACATCAGCATGCCACATAGGCATTATAACCGGTAAACCTTTTAATTTTTATTTATAGTGGTGTAGTTAATAGGTCAATTACGAGTTTAGTGGTCTAATGTACCAAAAAAAACTATAATAACCAAATTAGCCAAATGTAAAACATTTCATGTGCTACAGTGACATTATCCCTTATTTTATATATGCTACTACATCATCTTCTTAATCAGATTCATGAAGATTTCTATTTAAATTTCATCATTATTCTCAGGTGTGACCTGAATCGTTCCAAATGTTGCAACATCATCTCTTACCTCAAACAATTAACTTTCAAAATATGAAATTTTACATTCAAATTAAAAATTAACATGTTGTTTTTGTGAAAAACATTATAATTACATTGTTGTTTTGGTTAAAAATAAAAAGAATGAATATGTTACATAAAATTGTGTAGTAACCTCTCTCTCTCTCTCTCTCTCTCTCTCTCTCTCTCTTTCTCTCTCTTCCAACCCTCCAAAAATAGCATTAGACTTTGAAAAAGAGGCTCCATATGACATTAAACTTTGACAAGCTCTCTTTCTCCCTTTATTTCTCCCTCTCTTGCTTCCTTTCATTCCCTCTTTTTCTCTATATTTGTCTTTTTCTCTCTCTCTCTTTCTCTCTCTCTCTCTCTCTCTCTCTCTCTCTCTCTCTCTCTTTGCTCTCTCTCCTTCTGATTATCCCATTTAGTCTCCATTTCCCTCTCCCCTCACCCTTTCTTATTCCTATCCCATACATCTTCCCTTCTTCCCCTCTCCATATCCCTTCCTCATCCAACTTGCCTCCTCCCTTCTTTATCCTTTGTCCCTCCCATTCCCCTCCTCGTCCAATCTTCTTCCTCTCTCTCTCTCTCACTCTCTCTCTCTCTTTCTCTTTCTCCCTCCCTATCGTTCTATATCCCTCTTGCCTTATATCCCTTTTGTAACATCCTGAAATATTAATAAAAAAATTTCATTTAAAATTCATTCATTAATTGTTCAGAACCCATAAAATCATAGTATTAAATCATCAAGGTATAAATTATTTCAAATGCAAAATCCATGAAAGGAGGATTTTGTGCCCTCATGTTAGGCCCTTCCCTTTGGAACTAGAAGTACCTGAAGCCATAAACACAATAGTCTTACATACATTCTTGCTATGTGCCAACTATGGTCTTTCTTTATAGTGTTGAGGGCCAAATCTTGGTCTTCCATACAAGTGCCTGGGGATAAATCCCGGTCTTTCATACACTTGCTAGTGGCCAGATCCTGGTCTTTCATACAGTTGCCAAGGGTCAGATCCTGGTCTTTTATATAGTATCACAAAGACTACTATCATTCTACACACAAGTAATAGGCTGTCATTGGTTCCTTTGACCAATGATTCTTGTGAGGAGACTCACCTCAACTGCTGAAAATCAAATAAACACTCTCACTGCTGATCCATGAACTCTCCTCACTATACATCATCAAATAACACTCAATTAATAATTTGGCCACAACTATAACTAAAATTCCTAAGTCAATTATCCCATATCTAGGGTAGAAGACCATTTTACCCTCCCCTATCTTAGCCTAATATCTGAGGCCCAACTCATTGGCACCAAAAATCCCAAACTCCAAATGATACCCAAAGCTCACTATGGCCCGAATCCAAGAGGGCCCAAAGTTTGAAAAACTATTGATCTAATAAGGCCCATATCCCAAAAGTGCAAAATCCAACAAGGGACAAAAACCAAAGGTGACCCGATACCATGAAAGTCTATGGTCCAACCCAATAAGCAAAACCCAAAGATCAATGGCCCAAAACAACCCTTAGTTGGATTGGGCCATACGCCCCTCGTACAAGCTTGTACGCCCCATGTGCAAGCCTGAAATGAGATTCACAAGGGTTGGGTGAAACATAAACCAAGTTAACTAAGATATAATGAAACATCAAGGATTAACTAAGATATAATGAAACATAAACCAAGTTTGGAGTTGCATACCTCCAAATGGTGCTCAATGAAGAGAAGATGTCATATCAAAAGTCTTGAGAGAAAATCTTACTCCTTAAAGGTACTTCTTCACCAATGACGAAGCACACAACTCACTCTAAAGGCTCAAAATCCTCAAAATGAACTAGGGTTCGCAAGGAGGGTCGATCTTGGGATGGAGCCTTTTAAAGGGAAAGGTCTTGAGGATATAATGGGGTTTAAATAACGTACAAACCCTAAATATTAGGGTTTTTGGTTTGTAACATGTACCCCTGCCATACTAGAGTACAAGCGACGTACTAGCACGAGACATGGTACAGTTAGCGTACAAAGGCGTATGCCCCGCGTAATCGAGCAACACAAAAAAGTCATGGATTTTGACATTAGGGACCTTTCTTGACACAAATCAAAACTCAAGGGTCCAAAAGCAAACCTAGAAAAATAGATGTTACAACTCTCCCCCACTTGAACTAGAATTGGCTCATGAAGTCTACTGCCGTGAACAAATCAGGGTAGTGTTGTCGCATCTCCGCTTCGATTTCCTAGGTCCATTTAGAATTCTTCCAATGCTTCCAGTAGACCTTCACCAATGACACTTCCTTATTACACAAAACCTTCTTTTTTCAGTCTCAGATCTCCAACGGTCTCTCCACATAGTTCATGCGATCATTGACCTGAATATAATTTTGAGGAATAATTGTGGACTCATCGGCCACACACTTCCAAAGCTGTGACACATGGAAGGTGTTATGGATCTGACAGAGCTCATCAGGCAAATCCTACCAATATGCTACATTGCCTACTCATGTCGAAATCCTAAAAGGTCTAATAAATTTGTAGCCAATCTTGCCCCGTTTTCGAAAGAAGATGACACCTTTCCTAGGTGACACCTTTAGAAGCACTAAGTCTCCTACCTAAAACTCAAGGTCCGAGTGTTGCCGATCGACATAACTCTTCTACCGGATTTGCGTAACTCGCAATCTATTGCACACCTAATGAATCAACTCCATAGTCTTGAGTACAACTTTTTTACTCCCCATGACTCGATGCTCGACCTCCCCCCCCCCCCCCCGCAAACATATCGGGGTTATGCACCTTCTTTCATACAACATCTCAAATGGTGTTCGTTCAATACTGGCATGATAACTGTTCTTATAGGATAACTTGG